TAAAAAACCTGCCAAAATACAAGCCAGCCAAAACAACTTTTGCCCAAATAAGTGTAAACTGCAGAAATTAATATTAACCACTGCATGAAGATTTCCTTTGTGCGCAAAAGAAACTTTTGGGATGGGGACAACTTGTGTGGTGTCACATTTGGCATTACGTACTGTGCTCATACTGGTGAACTTTTTGTGGAATAAGCAGACCTACTACAATTCTGTTACCACGTCCTCGGTACAGAAAAGCATTGCTCGACCTATAGGCTGCGGGGTTTTTTGATGCACACTAATGGATTGCGGAGGGATTCAGTCATAACAATGTTGATTGAAAAAGTGTTTCTTCAGAACTCGGTTACTTGTCGTTGTTTTGGACGTCACCAGAGTCATAAACCGGAATCCTGGCCATCAGCAAAGACATAAAGGCTGGCGGCACTGCTTTCAGATGCAATGCTTCCTTTGGGAATGTTGCTTCTCCCGCCAACTTACCTCATGCTTGGAAAATCTCAGCTGCTTTTCTGGGTGCCTTTGATGCAGGCAAGAGCCACAGCTTGCACGCTGGAGGATGGCACAGCACGGTCTTTTTTAACCAACATTGTTAAGTTTGACTTGATCTCTTTCTTTTGCCATTTTTTTCTGTGAGGCAAACGAGAATGTAGAATGGATGTTGTAAAACGAATGCCCAGGGGAGGCAAATCCTTACTTCTATAAACCAAGCAGGGTTTCTTTGTTTAAAGGTGGAAAACTGTTATGCTGTGAATCCTGCCCAGCTTCCTTTCACCCTGAGTGTCTCAACATAGAAATGCCTGAAGGGTCCTGGAATTGCAATGACTGTAAGGCTGGCAAGAAGCTACGTTACAAGCAGATCGTTTGGGTCAAGCTTGGAAATTACAGGCAAGTTGGCTATTTTTGTTTTTTAATGCGTTGCATGTTTTTAATGTACCGTAGAATCACGGGAAGATAACTCAGAACCGCTCAGTCTTCATGCACAGGAACTAAAAATATGGTAATTCATCTGCTTTGTGTCGGACATCGATGATGCCCTTTGAATTAAATTCTCCTGCTTTTTCCAAGCAATGATGGGTACTTGACTGTGCTCACATTTGCTCTGTAGAGCGTAATAGCGATATGGAAAACCAGAGGCTGTCTTATAGAACCGAGATGCCCTGGCTTGTGTTTGCTGTTAGTCACCTGCAGGAGTACAAACATTTATAGGTGATCTTAGAAGTCCACTCTTATGCCACTTGTGTTCTTACAGCGCTTTTCCAAATGTGGAGGAAGAACTTTTCTTATGTTTTGCATGGTGCTTCCCAGGGGAGCCTTGACTCTGTGAGGAAGGAGTTCATTGCTTTAAGAAAGGAAAACTGGCTTTCATTTCTCAATCCAGTTAGGCAATCACAGAGGCTAAGGCTATAGTTCAAGGAACTTACATTCTTCTTGTTTTTTTCTGCTTTGCAGGTGGTGGCCAGCAGAGATCTGCAATCCCAGGTCTGTGCCTCTCAACATACAGGGCCTCAAACATGATATCGGGGACTTCCCAGTATTTTTCTTTGGTTCACATGACTACTATTGGGTACACCAGGGCAGAGTTTTCCCTTATGTTGAAGGAGATAAAAGCTTTGCTGAGGGGCAAACTAGTATTAACAAGACCTTCAAGAAAGGTAAAATCAAACAAAGTTTATAGTGGTTTATGACAAAAATTCCACGTGTTTGTGTCTCCATCACCACTTAACCTGCATGGGAATATTATGTGACTAGTGTTCTGTGTTCACGTAAAATTGCGAACGTTACGTAGATCCCTTGACTGCAGATCAAAATATGTTTCCTTAAGTGCCTACTCATTGTGTATTATTGTGGGCAAGTTCAATTCTTCCACAAAGTGGGCAATGTTAAGATGGAGCTTGGGCTTTGCTGCATGGGATCGTTGTTCAGTATCTCCATACCTGCGGAAAAGTACCTGATGATAGACTCATGATATACTGCAGTAACTCATTTTTAGCTTGTGTTTTCATTTGAGTTTTATTCCTAGCTTTTAAAATACATAAAAAATTTAATTGCATACATGTACATCTCTGATTAACAGCAGCTGGTGCTAATTGCGTTCTGTTTTGAACTCCTTTGCACAGCACTTGAAGAAGCAGCAAAGCGCTTCCAGGAGCTGAAAGCACAAAGAGAAAGCAAAGAGGCATTGGAAATTGAAAGGAATTCAAGGAAACCTCCACCTTACAAACACATTAAAGTGAGTTGGCTTCTTTCTTTTCCTGTTTTTATTCTGTGCATTGATAAACTATGTATTTACACCAGTATTTGCAACAATTTGAGCTTAAAGAAATTCAAACAAATCATTTTGCTGTTCTTTTCAAGAATCTTGTGTTCCATCTTCTAGTACCATAAAACATTCTTTTAGCAGAGCATTTGTGAAAGAGAGTTAACGGTTGAAGAACAGCTTTACCCGAGGTAGAATTTTGCTGGTTGCAAGCTCGTGTCATGTGTCTTAGATACACGCTGGCCATTACAGCTTACCAGATTTTAATGCTGACCTCTAATATCAGTAGGAATACTGGCTGCTCATCCTGCTGCAGGCTGCAGAGTCTAACTCTTGCCAGCAGTTTTGGACACATAGGGCTTGGTGGTGTTTCCTTTATGTTTTTAGTTTTAGTTGGAAGAGATCCCAGTGACGTACTTGATAAATTTTGTGCACTTTGGGTTACTGAAGCAGTAATTTTACTGGGGAGAGACTCGTGCTGAACTGTCTAGAGTCACGAGTTTTAATGTTCTTTCCTTAAATTGTTCGCTACTGACTTCCCTGGACAGTATATGTCCCCAGTTAGGTTGGCAGCTGAGTGGCAACAGATGCCGTCTGTAAAAGCGCACGCGTCTGCCGCTGAATTGCAGGGAGTATACTTGTAGAAGGAAAATAATGATGTGACCGTTATTTTCTTGCCTGCTCATGTCGATTGATGATTGACTTCCAGTAAAGCCATTAAGTCTGTGTTCTTTGTGTGTCGTCTTCATCATTTATTCTTTTTTTCTCTTGTTCCGCAGTCCAACAAGGTAATAGGGAAGGTTCAGATTCAGGTAGCTGACCTGTCGGAAATCCCTCGCTGTAACTGCAAGCCGTCGGACGAGAACCCCTGTGGGCTGGAGTCGGAGTGCCTGAACAGGATGCTGCAGTACGAGTGCCATCCCCAGGTGTGCCCGGCGGGAGAGCGCTGCCAGAACCAGTGCTTCACCAAAAGGCTCTACCCTGACGCCGAAATCATAAAGACGGATCGACGTGGATGGGGTCTCAGGACAAAAAGGAGCATTAAAAAGGTAGAATCACAGAATCATTACGGTTGGAAAAGACCTCTAAGGTCATGAAGTCCAACCGAATTAAAGGACAGAGGTTGTGGTAGCCATCGGTGTGGTTTGATGCGAGAACACTGCAACTCTGTGTACCTGAAGCGAATGCGTACAAAGATTTCAGTACTTGCAAGTAAATGCTTTGTGGTAAAAAGACATGAAACGTCTGCGGTGGTGAAATCTGCTTAGCTGTTCTGACAGAAGCGTCTTAACCTTGGTGCTTGCAGAAGACCAGCTAGTTCCAGGTGGCTGTGAATTTGTGAGTTTCTGTTGGTGGAGGGACAGGGCATGCCTGCGTTTCCTCGCTGCCTCCTGGGCAAAGAGGGAGAGCGCGGCCTGGGAAAAGGCAGTCTGAATATTGTTTTCTTTCCCT